CAGGCAATCCACTCACCTCAGCCTCCCAAGGCGCGGGATTACTGGCTGAGCCACCGAGCCTCGCTTAAAATTTGTTTTGTGACATTTAAATCTTTAATCCATTTGGAGTTTTTTTTTAAATGGTGTGAGATAGGAATCCAATTTCATCTTTTTCTTCTTAATTACTAGCTTTGTTAGAATAGTAACAATTTTTTATTGATTAGTCTCAGTCTTCCCCCTGTTCTGAAATGCTACTTCTGACGTATAATCAAGTTTTAAAGTGTGGGTCTGTTTCTGGACTCCCTATTTTATGCTGTTGGTCAATTTGTATATCATTGTGCTGATTCCACACTATCTTAATTATGTAGCTTCATAAGTCCTAGTATTAGATAATGCAAGTTCCCCTCCCTGTTCTTCTTGGACATGACCTGGCTATTCTTGGTCCTTCACTCTTCCATATGTATTTTAAAATCATCTGATCACATTTCATGGAAAAACCTGTTGTAATCTTGATTGGAATTGTATCTGTAAATAAAGTTAAGAAATAAAATAAAATATTAAGCTTTATTATCCATGTACTTGCTATAAATCTGTTTATTTAAATCTTTTTCATAACATCTTATAATAATAGTTTCACAAATTACTCTGTAGAGTTTTTGGACTTCTTTTTTAAAGTTTATTTTTAGGTAGTTTACATTCTCTGGTACTATTATATTATTTATAGTTTTGATCTTTTGGCCAGTCTTGCCTTAGTTTTGTCTGTTTTGCTAGTTTTTTTTCAAATAACGAACTTTTGGTTTTTTGGATCAGAAGATTAGCAATGTATTTTCATTTTGTTTTTATTGTTGTTGTTAGCTTCTACTCTTATCTTTATGATCTCTTATTTTATTTGGATATAGTGTGATCTTCTTTTACACACATCTTATAAGAGATTGTTAATTTGACTCTTTTCTAATATAATTATTAATCCTATAAATTTCTCTCAAAGTACCATTCTATTTTTGCTGAAGTACTTTTTCATTATAATTCAGGTTGTTTTAAATTTTCCATTGTGATTTCTTCTTTAACCTATGAGTTGCTTAGCATGTGTTTTACTATTCAAATATGCTGGAAATTTCTAGTTTACCTTTTTGTTAGTAACTTCTTACTTAAATGTGTTATAGACAGACATTATGGCTTTTATAGTATTATTTTTTAAAGTTTATTACGTTTTTTCCAATGGCAAAGTACATGAGAAATATATGTTTTCTTTAATTATTGGATATAGAGGCCGGGCTTGATGGCTCAGCCTGTAATCCCGCACTTTGGGAGGCTGAGGTGAGTGGATTGCCTGAACCCTTGGGTTTGAAACCCACCTGGGCACTTGGTGAGACCTCGTCTCTAGAATAAATTAAAAAAAAATTGGCCAGGCTTGGTAGCCGCGCCTGTAGTTCCAGCTACTTGGAAGGCTGAGGCAGAAGGATCCTAGCAGGTCGAGGCTGCGGTGGCCAGGAGCGGCCACTGCACTCCAGTCTGGGCGACGGAGTGAGATTCCAACTCAAAAAAAAAAAAAAAAAATTATTGGCTATAGAATTCTTTAACCACCAGGTAAAACTTATTAATTGTGCTGTCCAGATCTTTGTGGTAGTTATCTATTAGTAATTAAGGGAAATGAGTTGAAATCTTCCTCTGTGGTGTATGTTCTCCCTACTATTTTATTAATTTTTGCATCTTATATATGAAGGCTATTTAATTAGGTGCATATATTAACCTCTTGGTAAATTGAAACATTTATCTTTATGTAGAGATGATCCTCTGCATTTCTAATATTTTTTCTTAAAATCTGTTACTATAGATATACCAGGTTTATTCGTATTAGTTTCTTAGTATTAGCTTCATAAGTCTTTTTTCAATCTTTTTTCACCTTTGTTTTGTCTTATATTAAAGTGTGTTCCACTTTAATATAAGTGGAACAGCTTACGTCTCAATTTTTAAAAATTGACTTGTAAGCAGAATAAGCCCAGTAGTTGAATTTATGATAATAATTGATATACTTGGGTATGTTTCTACAGTCTTAAATTATTTGTTTATTCCACTTTTATTATGCTCTTTTGAATCCTTTCTTGACTTTAAAAAATAAATTGATAATCAAACTTTACCCTACCTACCCCTAATAAAACAAATGCAGTACTTAGAAAGCACTCATATTCCTTGGTTCTTCCTCCATCCCTTCTCTTACTGTCCTTCCTCCTGTTGAGTTATCTAGACGGTGCAAGTATGGTGTACATGCTGGTTCTGGTCCACAAACTCACTGGTTCCTAAAGAAATGTGAGGAGCTGCTTCAGAACGTAAATCACCTATGTCATTAAGCAGCCTGTTTAGTCCAACTGTATTTTGTTTTGCTTGTAGTAAACTTTTTTGAATGAAGGAAGCATTATATTGATTTGTTAAATCACATGCTAGCAAAAACTTTTTGTTGCAGACTAGTAACAAACTGTTCAAGACAGGCTACTTTGAATAGTTCTAATTTAAACATTTTCTATTTTTCTTTGGATGATAGTTTGGCTACATATAACATTCTGTGCTCTAAGTTCTTGTCCTTTAATAGTTTTGACCTATAAAACAGCAATTTTATATATTTTAACCTAATATTTGATATATTTGCTCTTGCCTTTATTGTTGCTGTTGAAAAATCTGATGTACTCTAATTCTTACTCCTTTGTATGTTATTTGCTCTTTCTTGCTGGAAGTTTTAGGATTTTCTCTATGACTTTGATTGTCTTATATTTCTCTATACTGTGTCTAACTATGGGTTTTTCCTTTTTTCTCCTCTTGGGCGCATCATGGGCCTTTCAAATCTAAAGTCCTATATCTGTTTTTAATTCTGGGAAATTGATCTCATTATTTCTTCAAACAATATTCCTCTTTATTTATTTTCTCTTCCTCTTCATTCTAAGTCTTTTGTTACTCAGATAACACTTCTGAATATGTCTTCCAAATCTATTAACATTTCTTTTATATTTCTGGGTCATTTCTTTCTTCTGGGAAATATCCTCAATATCATTGTCTGAATTGTGCTATTCTGTTACTTATCAATTATAACTTTATTCCAACGACTGTATTTTTCCAGCCTAATACTTTTATTCATTTATTTGTCATATTTTCTTGTTATTATTTATTTATTTTGAGATAAAGTCTCACTGTTTTGACCATGCTGGTCTCAAACTTCTGGGCTCAAGCAATCCTCTCGCTTCTACCTCCTGAGTAGTTGAAATTACAGGTGTGATCTTCTGCAACCGGCTGTTATTATTTTACATTGCTACTAACTCCCTTACCTGTTTTTGTCTCTTTACCAGTCTTATTTTCAATTCTTTGTCATCTATTCTGGTGTTTTCTTCTCTGTGGGAATCTATAATCAAGTATCTTTTTTTAAGTCTTTGTGTTACTTGAATGACTCAGTATTTTGGCCAGTGAACTCATTTTCCCCTGATGGTATCAGCTTTTCTTTCTGACAGTATATAAAGGAGAGGGTCCACCCTAGTCTGGTCAGCTCTGGTGAGGGAATAACTGAGCTATAGGGTAGAGAGCCCCAGAAAATAACCAGAAAATAACCCTTAAACTCAGGTCTGAACCCATTGGTTCAACGGAAGAAGCAACATAGATATCATTTCTTAGATTATAAAATTCTTTAGCCCTGGGAGTTTGGAGAGATTGAGGCAGGGTAGAGACTGTAATTAGTTAGTTACCACCTTTTTTTCTACACTGTCATTATATCACAGGAATTTACATTGCTGCCCTGATATTTTTCCCCCCAGAAGATTTCTAGACCAGAAGTGTGAATTGCTTATGGATGGGTAGGCCCTATTTGTTACGATACAATATGGGATAAGGGAGAGACTGGATGAGGAGCAAGAACAGAACTCTATGAGCCTCCCTACCTGCTGTGATCACCTCCTCCTCCACACCCCTGCTGGGATACCCTCTGCCCTCAGCCAGAATCACTGCAAGGACATACACCCCAGTTCAAAGTGGTGGTTTTCCGTAGTGTTCTCCACTTCTCTCTCTGTTCCCTACTTTACTAGTTTAGTATCTTGATTGGACCCAGAATTAGGAAGTTCCTAAATTGTTACAATTGGTTTTATGTTGAAAAAATTTTTTAGCAATTTTTTTTCCTGCTTGTTTTGAGTTGTATTATTAATTCAGTAAGCAAAAATAATGATGTGGCCTTTTTAGGAAACTTGTGCGGGAACATTAAGTTTTAGTTTTGAAATATATATTTCACGTATAAGATAGTCACAAAATGATAAGTGTTTATAGATTGAATATTTGAATTTTTTGACGTTTTATTTTTTTATTACTATTTTAATTAATTATTTAAAAAAACTTTTAATTTTTTTTTTTGAGTTGGAGTCTCTCTCAGTCGCCCAGACTGGAGTGCAGTGGCATGCTCCCAGCCACCACAGCCTCGACCTGCTGGGCTCCGACGATCCTTCCGCCTCAGCCTTCCAAGTAGCTGGGACTACAGGCACGCGCTACCACGCCCGGCTAATTTTTTTGATTTATTGTAGAGATGAAGTCTCACCAATAATGCCCAGGCGGGTCTTGAATCCGGTGGCTCAGACAATTCACTCACCTCAGCCTCCCAAAGCGCAGGATTACAGGCTGAGCCACCGAGCCCGGCCTTAAATTTTTTATTTTAAATATGTGGGATACAATTCAGGGTTAGGTATACAAGTATTCATTATGTAGGTACCCTTGTTGATGAGGTGTGTCCCCCCTCCCCTGGCAGTTTCCCTCAACTGCCAATCCCACTCGCCCTCCCCTGGCAGTTTCCCACTACTACCAGTCCCTTTCTTATAGTATTATGATAATTGTTCAAAGTCTGCTTATGAGTGAGAACATATGGTACTCTGTTCTTTGTTTCTGTGATAGATCACTGAGTGTGGTAGACGCTAAATCCATCCAAGTTGCTGCAAAGTCCATATGTTTGTTCTTCTTTATGGCTGCGTAGTACTCTGTTGTGTATATGTACCGCATTTCCAAGCCAGTATTTGGGGGGGAAAAAAAGAAAAAAATTAAACAAGTAATACATAAATATATACAATGAAAAATCAAGGTGTAAAGAAACACAGTTAAAAGTGAAAATCTTTCTTTAAAACCTTTCATTTTCACTTCCCTATAGGTTATCATTGTGAAATGCGTAGGATTAAATAATTGCTGCTAGATGTGTGCAATTTCAGTTTTCTGTAATCTTTATAACTATTTATACTATTCTTTACTGTAATCCCTCATTCCTATTTGAGGCAGGGAAAATTTACGATAAATTTAAAAATAAGAAAATGCAAAATAAATCTACCATTCTGGTAGATTTTGCCCAGTAATTTTCAGACTAATTTAGATATTGAAATCATAGTCACTGCCCAGTTTACAGTCTTTCTTTCAGGGCTTCCATACCGTTCTCATTTTTTAAACCTCTATTCCTCCCTGGCCCTGCTTCTAATATCACAGGATTCACCTGCTAATTGCTAGACAGTTGAAAGAGGGGAGAAAGGTCAGCTTTCCTGAAAGAGGGCATGTCAGTGGAAATGGGATGGCTCATTGTTATTTTGTGGTTATTTCTCAGCTTGCTGGAACTGCTAATATCCTTATTGTCTGATCTTTGGCACTGTTCTAATTGCTGATGCCCTGGCAGTAGGATTTGTCAGCCTGAACTATGTCCAATGCTACTTTTTTTTTTGAAGCATGTTTAGTGGTTGCTATAGTCTGAATGTGTCCCCCAAAAATACATAATTGCTAATGTTGAAACTTAATTGCTAATGTGATGGTATTAAAGAGGAAGGCACTTTAGGAGGTGATTAAGTCATGAAGACTCTGCCCTCACTAATGGCTTTAGTGACCTTCTAAAGGAAATTGAAGGGAGTGCCATAGCTCCTTTGTACCATCTACAAAGCAGAGAGCAAGGCTTCACTGGACATTGAATCTGTTGGTTCCCTGAACCTGGACTTCCTAGCTTCCAGAACTGCTGTGCGAAATACATTTCTATTATTTGTAAATTGCCTATTTAAGGTATTTGCTGTAGCAGCCTGAACAGATCAAGACAGTAGTCTTTTGGTTGACCCATGTCTTGCTGCCTTATGCCATCTGTAGGTTCATGCAAAACCTAGGAATTCCCATCTCAGCTTCCTGTGTGATGTCACTGCCCTCATTCTAGCTCACCATGTGATTCTGCCATTTCTTTACAGTCTTTGTTATTCAAGGGGCACTGGGCTAGCTGTGCAGAATCTATTACTGCTTCTTTTTATTCAGGAGTGCTCCAAACTTCAGGTTAATAGTTTGCTGAGTCTTTCCAGAACTTTATTTCTAATCATGTCAAGGTATGTGTATACATATAGATGTATATATACATGCATGCAGATATATGTAATTTAAAAAATAGGACCATTCTGTATGTTTGTATGTATAAAAAATGTTTGTCTTTTCAGATGATCTTTGGGTGGTTTCAAAGACCCTAGACTTTGAACTGGATACTTTTATTGCATGTAGTGCTTTCTTTGGACCATCGTCTGTCAATGAGGTGGAACTACTGCCTTTGAAAGGCTACTTCCCTTCCAGGTGGTACACTAGCAGTAAGTATTACCATGTTCATCTTGATTTATATTTATTTTTTAGTTGGAATCTCACTCTGTCGCCCATGCTGGAGTGCAGTGGCTTGCACATGGCCACCGCATCCTCAACCTACTGGACTTAGGTGATCCATCCACCTCTTCCTTCCAAGTAGTGGAACTGCAGGTGTGCGTTACCCTGCCCGGCTTATTTTTTGATTTGTTGTAGAGATGAGGTCTCACCAAGTTGCCCAGGCTAGTCTCGAACACCCGGGCTCAGGCAATCCTCTTGCCTTGGCCTCCCAAAGTGCTAGGATTACAGGGTGAGCCACCGCACTCAGCCTTGATTTATATTTAAAAAGAAAGATAGACACAGGATGCACTGTGAACAAAATGCTAGCCGTGTGTGGAGTTGTTTGATGAAAGCCAACAAAAAGCACCCACCTCTAGTTTCTACTATTGTGCACAACGTGTTTCTGAAAATGTGTATGAAAGTTGAATACAAAATATTTCTGTAGTTCAAATTCCACAGGACTAGCAATATAATGAAATTTTGGACCTCTGTGTGCACTTAAGGGTTTATTTTATGTCATGTCATTAATTCAGTAGCTGAACTCTGAATTATGTGGACATTTAGTACAGAGTTATTTCATGGTTCCTTTCATTTGCATCAAATGTTTATTTTCTGCATCTTTACAGCTATTGTCCATGCATTATTGGTTTGTAATGCTAGCTCAGAGCTGACTACTTTGAAAAACATTCAGGACTACTTTAATCCAGCTACTCTACCTCTAACACAGTACCTGTTAACAATGTAAGTCATTATTTACCTGTGAGTCATTGGTATTTTAAAAAGTGGTAACTAAAACTGAATATGAGAATGTCATGAAAATAATACATAAATGTTGCCAATAAAATTTTAATTATCTTTCAGACTATGAAATTACTGACTCTCAGTTAAAAATAGAAAGGAAAATGTGCATCATTTCCTGTCTTTCCACCTATTTATTGTAGTTTGAGCTAATAACTGTTACTGTCATTTTTTCTCCTTTTTCAAGGGATAATTTCTTTTTTTCTCTTTTGAGTTGGAGTCTCACTCTGTTGCCCAGGCCTTGAACTGCTGGACTCAAGCGATCCTTCCGCCTCAACCTTCTAAGTAGCTGGAACTACAGATGTGCACCACCACACCCAGCTAATTTTAAAAAAAAATTTATTGTAGAGACGAGGTCTCACCAAGTTGCCCAGAATGATCTTGAACCCCTGGTCTCAGGCAATCCTCTTGCCTCGGCCTCCCAAAGTGCTGGGATTACAGGCTTGAGCCACCCCACCCAGCCCTGGGATAATTTCTTAAGGGTCATTTAAGTGTTGGTTTTATTTTTTTATTCATCTGTATTTTTATATCACAATTACTTAATATTTAAAAGAATCATTTTATAGCTTGAATCCAATGTGTATATTGATACTGATTTTATTCTTATTGCTCATATCTCATTTTCAATTTCTGCAGCACCAAGTCTCTTTTTAAAAAATTAGAAGTAATATTATATTAAATGCATTAAAATGATAGAAAAAATGTGCCGGGATCGGTGGCTCAGCCTGTAATCCTGCACTTTGGGAGGCTGAGGTGAGTGGATTGCCAGAGCCCATGGGTTTGAGACTTGCCCGGGCAACTTGGCGAGACCTCATCTCTACAATACATCAAAAATTAGCTGGGTGTGGTAGCGCGCGCTTGTAGTTTCGGCTACTTGGAAGGATGAGGTGGAAGGATTGCCGGAGCCCAGCAGGTTGAGGCTGCGGTGGCCGGGAATGGCCACTGCACTCCAGTCTGGGCGACAGAGTGAGACTCCAACTCAAAA